GCCTTTTAAAATGAATAATCTTTGTCCTTATTATATTATCTAAGAAACTAGAACTCATTTAAACTCACTTAAATACCAAGGAACCTTAAGTAAGACGTTAAAAATGTCTATGATTTGATTACCAGATGCTTTTAAAAAGCAACAAAGATGCTGTGGACCCTCCAGGCTGGTGGAAGCAAGGAAGCTAACATCTCTTGAGCCAACCCTGCCCCCCAGCCAAGGAACATGTTCCAATGGCTCTCTTTTCCCTTCAAAATGTTCTCCTATTGTACTGGCTTCCTCCTCAAAGGCTATAAATATGATCAAGTTTCCTAAAACATATCTTTTAATCACCCTCCCTAAACCCTGAGAGCGAGTACTGCTGAAAGCAGTAGTCTCTACAGACCTCCCTATCACCAAATCCAAGTCCTGGTTTCCATAAAAACAGCTAGCACTTATTGAACACAAACCAGATAACTTCCAGTCACTGAGCTTGATAGACTTTATCTCATTTGATCCTCACAGTGGCCCTGGGAGGTCACACTTTGATCTTCATTATGTAAATGAGGAAAGGGAACTAAATTCTGAGTTCAAGGTCACATAGCTAGTCAGGGGCAGAACAGGACTGTCTGATACCCCTCATCTTAGTATTTAGCCCCTCATTTCTTGAAATTCTTTCCTCCTTCAGCTACTAAAAGTTACTCTCCCCTAATTTTCCTCCCAACTTTCACTCTGTACCTTTTCCTTCTTTACTGCTCCCTATATCTCTAGCCATCAATTTGATTTTAGAATCTCCCCAGGCCTCTTTTTTCATCTTACTCTCTGAACCTGCCCTAGAAGATCTACTGACTTCCTTTTTTCTTTTTGTAACCACCTATAATGTTGAAAATGGCTAAAGCAGTCAGTCTATCCACCCATCCATTAATCTATCCATTTATCTACCTACCTATCTAGCCCAGACCTCTCTGCTCAGAAGAACTGTGCAATGATCCATCAGACACTCATCTCCAGCTGGATTTTCTATAAGCACTTCATATTCTACATGTCCAAAGCTGAACTCTATCATCCTTGGTCCTCAAATGGGCTTCTCCTTTAAAGTCCCTATCCCATCCTCCCATACCACCCACCATCTAACCAGTCACCTAATCTGAGAGCTTCTACCACCTTAACATCTGTGTGACCAAAGTCTCTTCATCTCACTGCCACAACTTTGATATAAGTTCCTCAACTTCTCTTAGCAAGATCACCCCAATACCTTCTAACCTGTTATTCCTGTCTCACACCTCAGATCCATCCTTCTAGACTGCTGTGAGAGCTGTGTTTTCACCACTCCTTTGTTTAAAACAACCTTGAAGAGAAAATGGTCCACACACCGTAGGAGGGCAAACAGTCCTCCATGATCTTGTCCTTGTCTACACTGACTCCTCTGTTGTCACCTTCTCTATGAAGCCTCTTTAGTCTCTGTCCCCACGTAGAACTGGCCACTTCCAAATGCCTGTTCAGGGCACTCTGCATTTCTCTATCAAAGCACTCAAGAACATATAGCACTATTTTGTACTTATTGAAGCCAACTTGTTTTCTATCTATCTAATCCTCTTAAACCCAGAGTCCTCCCATGGTCTTATGTGTCTGCATATCCCCAGTGTACAGGACCACAGTGTCCAATGCATAGTATGCTTTTAATAAGTATTTGTTGAAAAAAAGAAGGATGTTTGTGAAATGCTTTAGATTAAGAAGATATAATTATCACCGTTTTCAACACTAAATTAAACAACTTTATTCAAACACATTTGATTATGTAACCCCATATGTGGGTATGCAAAGTAATACTGAAATGATTCACCTAGCTTCAAGTATGGGCACCAGGCTTATCAACTCACACTTCTTATTCCTAGCTTCCAGAGTAGTGAAATAGTGCCAACATTACAAACAGCTAGTCAATGTCAATGGCAGAAAGCAGGATGTAAAATATCATCGTACACATATTCCTAAACAAAGACCATCTGGGCCTACCATAAGAAAAGTAAACTTTTTTTAAAGGCTGCTTCAATTTCTTGGAAAAGCAAAGATCTTCCAGAAGACTGAATGTCTGAAATCAAGACACCCTTCTAAAGATCTCATATACAAAATTTTCTATTAAAAAAACACATTAAAACCATTTATATAGAAGTTACCCTTCTAGGAACCTAAGCCATTGAGCTCACTATCTAGCCCAGAAACAAAGGATGAGAACAGCAAGTACCTGTCACAAATTACACAGGCTTTATACTCGAGCAATAGCCCACATCATTTCAGGAAAAAAAAGAAAAAAAAAAGACAACAGATAATAGAGCAGCAGGGGCCGCTCACAGCCTGACAGCAGCAGAAAGTGATAGCTGATAACAGAAAGAGGCCCCAGAAAAACCATAAAAAAAAAGAATAGTACTTCTGTCCCCAATCTAGTATTTCAACCAGGCAGGCTGAGGCCATTTACTATAAACAAAAACAGCTCTATACACCTCAAGGAATAGCACTATTCAATTCTTTATGAATTCATGTTCATAAAGACAGTCCAACAAAAAAAAATAACTTACATCCTGGGGAGCAAGTAAGAGTGTAATATTTAGAAATTACTTGTTTTAATAGCTAACTTTTTAAAGTGTCAGTAATTAATGGTGTGAGGGGTCAGCTATTTTGAAAATGTGCTTATGTAAATAAGTAATAACCCAGGTAGTGTCAAGTAAATGAGATATTATGACATATTGCAAAAACAATCAAAAGTTCTTACTCTCCTGGTGTACTCTGGAAATCTAATGTGAATTAAACAGCATCAAGTCAATATTATCTTATAAATAAGCACATAAATAACTTCGAAAAGGAGTCTGACAATTGAGAGTGTGGTTATTTTCTTCCTTTGCCATCAATATTTACATGGTAATTAAGCTGATAGTTATTCATAAGGTACCATGAAATGTTTTAAGTAATTCAAATCAAATGTGAACTGTCAAAGTCTACACACAAAAAGATTTTACAAAAAATAAATTTTTTACAAATATTTTTTACTTCCTTGGTTTACTTATTCTAATATGCACACCAGGCATTAGTGCAACAAGCATAAAGCTCTGGAACTTTTAGACTTAAAAAGAGTTTGAATCTCTACAGTAGTATTATCAAGAGAAAGTCACAAGTACAGTTTTTACTCAGTTATGCCCGAGCTACTAATATACTATCAAGTTATTACTAAATGTCACGGAAGTATGCTTCATTGTAGTTTTTAAACACTGCTATAGCTCTAAATCACACAAGATGTCAACCTTACCTTGTGGGTGACAGGCAAATCAAATAGCACTTGAGTGTTTCCCTCTAGAATTATCTAGAATAGTTGCCGAACAGAAACAGTCCAAAAGCAATTATCTCAAACTGCCTGGAGATAGTTTCCATAAGAGAAAACTAGTCCACTGTTTCTCTCTGAGACAGAAAAAATAGTCTGGTTTATGATCTAATTCAATTAATGCAAAGTTCGGATTCCCTCACTATACAATATTGATGTGCATGACTCTTCCATTAATTTAAAACTCTCCAGGGAATAAAATGTGATTACTCCTAACACTATTAACATACCAATTAAAAAGCACTTCCTAGCCTTCCTTCAAGTGGCATTTTTTTTTCTGGGAGTAAGTGGAAATAAAGCACACCAATTACACCAATTCCGAGACTTATTTTTTCTTTGAACATGAAATTATCATAAATAGAAACAACAGCACACTTGGCATCTAGCCAAACAACCACACCTTCATGTCATTAATCTTAAAAAACTCATTGTACGAGATGACAGCCCAAGGGAAATCGAAGGTTTTTAGAGTAGTGTTTTTCCTATTGTTTCTGGGTGGAACCCACTTGAAATAAAAGACTGCCTCTTTTGCTAACACTGGTTCATAATGCAGGTGACTCGAATGCTACCCACTCCTCCCCCTTGCGATACGCCTTCAGCCCCGTGAGAATGACTAGTTAACACAATCTAGTCTTCCGAGTTCGAGTACTTTCAAAAGTTCTTTCACTTTCTCCCCTCCTCACCGCCCCCCACCCCACCCCTTGGGGTTGCTTTTCGGCGATGGGAACCAGAGGTACAGGTACAGAGGTGGTACTTTCCCTAAGGAAGTGCTGCAGAGCGGCACGTTCCCCGTACTCAACTTCATAAACCCTCCATTAAACCAGCGAATTTACACATACAGATTGAGTAACCCCCTCGCCACGCGTGACTGTCCTTTTGCCCTGTCGCACTCCGATGCGGTTTGCCTCGTACAACTCCAAACCACGCATCCCAGGCCCCCTCGCCGCTCCTCCAGCCCGTGGAAGGCGCCCTACTTCCTGCAGCGCGTCCTTCTCTCGCCTCCTAACCCGCACACGCTTCTCTAAAGCAAGGGCACGCCATATGGCTCCCGCATCCGCGCGGAGACCCTGCCACCACTGTCCATTTCCGGGGGTCGCACAGGCTTGCGGGCACTGAAAGGTCCCTGTGTCTGTGCGTCTGTGTGTGTAGCCCCAAGACACGCGCTACCCCCAATGCACCCAGGTCTAGTTCCCCCTCAGGGAGAGGACGAAGTAGAGAAGAGTTGCAGAGTTTCCCAAGCACCTCCCGGGCCCCCATCCCTGGCTGGCGGCGGGGGCTCCGCGGTGCCCATAGCTCCGGGGTCAAGTGCAAGGTCCTTGGCCAGATCCACGCCGGGTGATCCCCTCTCTCAGCCTGCACGCACGAAACGCGAGAGGACCCTCAAACGGGCGCCATACGGCAGGGAAAGGAGCACGGGCGCGAGCGGGGCAGCAAGGAAAGATCTCCTTTACACCCGTCCGCCCCACACCCTACCCACCCCCAATCCCTTACCCTCTCAGTCCAACCCCATCTGCACTTTCTGATCCCTACCCCCCACCCCTGGGTCGCAGCCATCCGCCCGGCACTCACCTCAGGGCGCAAACAACGCCCCTCTCCTCTTGCCGCCCCGCCCCCCTTCCGCCCGCTGGAGCGGCGTGGTCCGTCAGCTTACCTCCGCTCTTGGCTGCTGCGCGTGAGTTTGAGTGTGTCTCCGCCGCGAAATTGTATCCGGGGACAGAAGGGACCCGTTTGTGTGCTGGATCAGGTGTCGCCGCCTTCGCTGGCTTGGGGTCGTGAGGAAGGCTGCAGAGTTAGTGTGTTAGCTTAGGACTGGCTCTCGGGACTCACAGTTGACGGCAAAGCTTTAACCGTGTCCTCCCTCAGGTCCGCGGCGCGCCTGCTCTTCCGCGGCTCTCCGCGGACGGCCGCGCCCCCCCGGCCACGCCCCGCCCCGCCCCGCCCCGCCTCGCCTCGCCTCGCCTCGCGCGCGGCTAGCAGAGCTGAAGCGCGACCCTCTCCTGTAGCGCCTGGCTCAGCGGGTCACGACGCGGGCAGCCACGCGCTCAGTCTCGCATCAGACGCCTGGGGCTGCGAGCACCTCCTGCTCCTTCGGCTGGGGCATGGATGCGGACGCGCCTTCGTGCCACGCGCTCGCGGGCTGAGCGAGGGCTTAAGAGTCCTGGGACTGGGATGCTCGCGGGCGGAGCGGCGGTCGGCGGACAGGCTGGGACTCTCGCGAGCCCTCCGGTGCTCGAGCTCGGAACCCTGGAACTGGCACGTGGCCCCGCCCCCTGTTCCCCCAGCGAGGCGTGCCCTGTGCCCTCTCTTAAATCTCCCGTCTGGTCCCCGTGCCCGCCTTTTTTCATCGCACCAGCGCCGCGCGAATCCGCGTGGTGTGGTGGTAGTGCGCCTTCTCTCCCTTCCCAGCCTCCTAGTCTGCCTCAGTCCTCCCGAATCCATTAAAAAGTCAAACTTGGGCTAGGAGGTGGAGGAAATACGCGAAGGAAAGAGGGTGAGGGGCACTTAGGTGATCAAGCCACCTGCCTCGTGAATCGGAAAGCGTTCGAAAACACGAGTTTGGGGATCCCGGAGAAAAGAAATTGGGTTGCTGCGCTCGGTAACATCCCTCCTCGTAGGCTTGTGCTGAAAGGGCCATTTATGCTTTGCTTGCTTGAGTCTGTGGCGACTTTATCCTGACTAATCTGTGTTTGCCAACAGCAGATCCTCGCCAAGTTGGCGTCCCAGCCAGAAAGCACCTTTGCGTACCCAGGCCTGCTGGAGCGGCCCTTCCCGTGGCGCCTCAGACCCGAGAGCCCAAGCGCCTTGAAGAGTCTGACCCTAGGGTGCGAGCTTCCTGGGAACCAGGAAAATCGAATAGTGATGTTGGCTTTTCCTTTGAGCATGATTGGTAATGTATTCGATAAATATATATACGACATAACTTTCAGAAAAGCAAAAATCATGTCGGGTGTAAGCTCCAGAAGCTAAGATGCCGCCACTGCACGTGAACGTTATACGTTTAATCACTGGAATTGGGAAAAATGCCAAGTCAGGCCATCCTTTTCTTGCTCCAAACCGAATTTCAAAAGTAGATTGGGACTTTGTGCTCTTAGAAAAGGAAACGGAAATTATGTTTTATTGTGTATAGTATTACTTAATGTTAAATGGGGGAAAAATCTAACATACACTGTTATTCTCATTTTACTTATGACTCTGTGTTTAATAAGTGCAGGGTCCGAAGTCCATATACTAAAGAATGTTCACCGATAGACTTCCAGATGTGGATTTCAGAAAAGAATGTGCTTACTTTCTTTGCAGATCAGAAATTTGAAATACTGTGAAAAGCACAGGGGATATTTTTTCAGCCTTTGTACCTAATCCAAGGAGATTACTGTCCTCTATTTTTTATTTAATTTCATTAGAAAAACCTAAAATGTGAACATAGGTAACAATCTGACGTAAGAGAATTTAAGCATTTACTTTGAAAGCTCTGTTCTCTCAAGTGTCAAGCTTCAAGCACTTGTTCAAGCAATTGCAAGCTGTTTGTTGCATAATGCATTTGTAAATTCATAGTCAAAAAAGATTACTAGAAATTAAGTGAAAACGTTAAATTTTATTGTGTGAAAAATTTTTTTAAATCTGTGTCACATTTCTTTGCTTACAAAGTCATGTCAGCTGACCATTGTATAAGATTTTGGCAGACTTTTGGGAAGAAAATGCACTGCTCTATTATGTGTGGATATGTCCATGTCTATTGTTTCTTTGGTTTCTCTGTTGCCTCCCACTTTCTTTATATAATGATGATCAAATTTCTCACAGCTCTGCACACAAAGGACATCCCATAATTTAAAACAAGTTAAGTCAGTCATTGTATAAATAGTTGAATTGCATTTTGGGAGTTTGAAAGTATAAAGAAAATTGGTGAGTGTCTCTCTCTTTTTAAAAAAATCTACCAGCACTTAGCACTTCATATTATTGACTGAATGGCTGGATAAAGTAAATAATGAAAGCATTTGCTCCTTCTCTTGAAGGTAAAGTGTGTATTTTTCATATTTAATCCATCTTCCAAGCTCCCATCCAGATTCACACAAAATTCTGCCTATCAGCTTTAGTTTATAGAATGTTGAATTGAACAGCATATCTGTAGTAAGGAAGTTCTAGCCAATGTGAAATGTGATATTAAAATTCCCTCATTATTTCGGTAGACCAAGTGTATCAGTATACTGATAATTTTTAAATTTTTAACTTTAATTTAAAAAATTTAATTTAAAAATTTTTAATTAAAAAAAATGCTTTTGGTTCTTTAGTCAGTTTGGGCCCATATGATTTTATTGGGAGATAAACAACAACATGAGAAATACTAGCTTAGCCTGGTGATTATTAACCATGAACTCTGGGACTTTAATCAGTTATAAATGGTACAGTTTTATATCATTTGCCTTGTAATATAGACCATATAGTATAGAATACAGCAGAATGAATTTAAGTTTAATCATGGGGAGAAATATGGGTGGCTGTACATTCCAAAACCCCTTTGCTAATAGTCCCAAATATCTGAATATATTGCAGTGGGGTACCTTATGACTGGAAACATCACTGACTTCACAAACTAGGCCTTTGAGCTCTGCTTAGTTCCCAAGAAATGTGATTATCTACTTTGAGAGTCCAAATGCACACAAAAAGTCTTTAGGCCTAATTTGATGCTGCTCTCCATAATAATAATAATGATTATTATGGCTCCTACTTGAGTTTTCAAAGTGTAATTCCAGGCACAACGCTAAGTTAATGAGTGATCTCATTTAATCTTCATAAACATCCTGGAGGTAGGTACTATTATTTTTTCCTGTTGAAGACAGAGTAGCAGAAGTTTGGGGAGTCAAACTGGAAAGTGGCAAAACTGGGAACTGAATTGAATTCTGAGTCAAAGATCACACCCTGAGCCACTAGTCTATTTAGACTAGATCGCATAGTGGAGTTCAAGTCTTGGTCAGAGAAAATGTTGAAGTACATAAATCCAACCTGACTATTTGGGGAACCCTTGGAATTCAAAAAGCACATAAACCCAGTCTGCCTTTGCTGTGTCTCCTCTTTTACCCCCCAGAACAGCTGCTAAATAGGCAAGTCACAGTACAAAGGTACCTAGTGATGACAGGGTCTTAATTTTCTGTGTATCCAGTTTAAAACTGTTGCAATTATTTTGTTTAATTCCTGTTTCCTGTAGACTCTGACTTACTGTAAGAACACTAAACCTGAGGGCAAACAGAATGAAGATCATACACAAAGTCCATAAGATAAAAACAGGCAGATTATCTTCACCTTCACCTTCACTTCATCTTCACCTTCTCCTTTTGGCTCTTTTTCCTTTTCCATCATCTCTTATTTTCTTGCAGGCATCAGCTTCTTGCTTTCGGTTTCAACTATACACTCTACTTAGTGCCATATCCCATTTTTTTAATACGTGCAAATATTTTCATTTTTATAAGTTTTAATATATGCAGTTTTTTTCATTTTTCATCTTAATTCTGTTTTAGTATGCATTATAGGTTTCTTTAGAAAATGTCGCTCTGTGGATCAAATTGTAACAGAAGGATTGGAGAAACAGAGAGATTTCTAGAATTGTGGAAGTGATGGATAACTACTCGATTCTCATCAAAAGATACATTTTTTGAATTGTCTAAAGGAATACCTGATATAAAGGGCAAGCTCAAAAAAAAAACACTTGTACTTTCAATAATTTTGGTTACATGATTATAGACATCACTAGCTTAGACATCACTAGCTTATTCTATATGTCCTTCTAAAGCAATATTTCTTTTCACGATTAGAAAATGTCATCAATAAAACTTTACTCTCTAATCTAGTACCCAGTAAGTTAAATCTTTTAAAATAATTTCTAAAACTTCATGATGAACCCTGTTCAGAGTTAGTTGTGGGAAACTATGGAGATAGAATATCTGTCTTAAGGCCTTTGGCCTTTCAGAACTGGAAAGTTTGCTATCCTGGATTCTTATGTAGCCCTATGTTGAGTCTCTGTCAGTGATACCAGCTAAGATTTTAAAAGAGAACAAATGGTACTACATGACATCATATATAGCTAAGCCTGGGTCTGCAACAGCTTCCTTTCCCACCCATTTTGCGGGTGTTACATAGTACAGCCTTTCTATGTTCAGCCTCCTGGGAATAAAGAGCTTCATAATATATTACAATTATAGCATCATAATTTATTTGCCCTTAATACCCTGCAAACTCAAGGCAATACCAACTAATTCTAATATTCCAGCACTAGGTGAATGAGGTCATGTTTACCATATCTGCTTTATACTTTCATAGATACTAATCTTCATCCATTTTTTTTTATTAATCACCCTTGTACAGTGGCTTTCAGATCCACTGAACATAATTCTAAAATATCAAAACTTTATGACCTAGATTACGTCCCCCTGGTACCATGGTCTGTGTGCTTCCCTAAGTCAATGTTAATTTATCTGCCTAGTCAACTTGCATTTATTGGGAAAGTTAAAGAAGAACCCCAGAATCCACAATTTTTTTAGAATTATACACTCTGCCTTTTAACATAAAGAACTAATTGTATTATTTTCAGAAAAGAAAGGACTTGCCCTGGCAGATTGGTATTAGCAATATTTTGTGACTCATTTCATATGGTTATCTTAAAATCATGGTGCTTAAATAGTCACTTTCTCAGGTCGGGCTTTAACTCCCAGATGAAACTATTAAGTGTATTTTTGTTCATAAGTGTCAGGCCTAAGCCTGACCCTCCCAAGGTATGCAAAGAGAGTAGGTTTCTGTATCAGTGAAAAACTAAACACTAAGGACTTTGACCCTAGTGTTCAGATCATTATGTTACCTGTGTGTATTTGATTTTCTGGTTGGAATCCTGTTTTGAGTATCTCTTTGCTTGCCTTGTTTTTCATTCACTGGCTCCCTTACTTTTGTGTAATAAAGAACTATGGTGTAATAAATAAACTGTCTGATGGAATATCCCATACAAAGGGCAAGCCAGGTAGGAAAAAACCCAGTCAGTGACAGCACTATTTCTATAGTGTGAGGACATCAAGATTGAGTGGGTCTTTCCAGGGTATAATTAGAAGTTGAGGTTCTTGCTGTAAAGCAGATGTAGACTCTACTTTTACAATTGTTTTTTAAAATGT